ATGCAAAGGAAGGTTTGAAATACCAAGTCTGAAGTCACAGACTGACATCTCAGGACAGCTCACATATCCCTTTCCAGGTTCCCACGGAAGAGGCCTGTACAGTTAGCATGCGAATCTCTCAAATGAGATTGTAAATGCCAGTCCTGTCAGTCTCTTCCATATCAAAGCTCCTTGCACTTTTCATAGAAGCAGGCTCTCATAGCCACATAGGACCATGCTCGTAGCCACATTTTCCTACTGTCCCCAGCCGAGTACTACATAACGATCTGGAGACTGGCTAATACAGAGGCTGCTGCATTTCAGTAGCTTGTTGCATGCAAAAACTGGAAAGCACTCAAGTGTCTGAGCATAAGAACAATGCACGTCTAAGTGAGCAGACCACTGTAACGCCAATCAGTAAATTACACACCCCTCCCCAGATTCACTCCTGCACTTTATTATACACATTTACACTTCATAGCTAAAAATCTGTACACTTCACATTACAGTACATGCTAGCCACTGGCTGCTAGCTACCACAGGACACTGACGGCCCAAGACTCCTGCCCTAGAACAGGCAGTAGGGCTGGTCTTCCTCCCTGGGGAAGTCTCTTCAGGTTCACACATTCAGAGAGGACACTGCTTGCCACATGTGACAATGCAGGGGGCCGAAGGTGCAAGCAGGCTGTTCCCTCCCTGGCTGGGAACTGAAGGCATCTTGTTCACTTTTCAGCTCTGGATGCCAAATACTGGATCTTGCCTTCCCGTTGCAGACTCATTTCTTCATTTTCATGTCTGCCTCAATGGCACAGCGACGTCCTCTGGTCCCTCCATCCTAACCAACATGCAAACAGATGGGAAAGAACCAGTGTTAGCAAGGGTGGAATGAAAAGAACATGCTTCCTTCTGTGCTCAAGGAGATGGATTACAGCTCTTTCCTGCCTTCCAGTAAGCAGTGAGGAATGCACTGAAATCTGCTGCAAGATGGGCTGGTGACACCTGCCAGCAGCCCTTCCAACATTACTGGCGTGGGTCTAACATAAAAAGGCTCCAGTGGGGGCCCAGAACCACATCCGTCTACAGGAAGCAAGGGTAGCCAGAGGGTGGGCAGTTGGATTCCCATCTGTACAACTCTTTTGGAACTGATTAAAAGAGCTGCACTAAACAAAGTGAAACATTTGAGTGGATCTGGAGCGGGGTGGAGAAGAAGGAACTGCTGGCTAACGTACCTGATCAACTGCTGGTCCCTACAGGAAGAGCTCCTCCAGCTGAGTGGCCCTGGCACTAGTTCCCTAGCTTCTCCGCACAGCTGCTCTCCTTGAGCACAGGGCAACTGGAGGGCTTCTTTGCACTGGACGCCCTCTCCCTCGTGCTGATATGCTGCCTCTCCTGAAACACTTCTCTGTCTTTAAATGCATATGAGAAAATAAACCCTCAAACTTTTGTTTCTAGCTCAAGAGCTTGGGCTTCCAGGAAGGAAACAACTTTTCCCAGCAGTAACAACCCGCAATACAAAACAGTTCTTTTCTGCAGGGAAACCTGGCTGCTTTCTGGTCCACGAAACAAAAACTAGAACGCTGTTTTAGAGAGATGGTTGCTATATGAGCATGAACGGGTGTTAAAACTGCAGTGCTGTATTTGACCTGCCTTCCCACTTACATTGAGAGAAAGCAGGACAGGAGTCAGAGGGAAAGAAAGCAGAGCAAGAACCCTAAGAACCTACATGGAAAAAACTACAATCCCTCCCCACTCATCCTAAGAAGCATGGGATGATGATGTTTCTGCTTTGATACCCCTAGCTGCACAGCCATTAACTTAAAACACATCACTAGAGAGCTACTGGTAGCCCTATGCCCCAGTATCCCACAGACAAGGAGCAGAGCACACTGCCAGGAGTACCCCCCACATTACCTACTGCAGCCTTTCAATACTTACAAAGAGAGAGAGAAGGAAGGCAGGAGAGCCCATTGGGACACTGTCCTGTCAAAAGGCCAAACAGAAGGACTCATCAGATTGCAGATACGGAAGTGCACACACCACACAAAAGCAATGCAACCCACATAGTCATTAGCACAGAGAAACAGGCACCTTAACTCCCCACCCTCATGGCATCATTCTTATGCAGCAGGAACACAAAGAAGGACACAAAGAAGGATTCTGACAAGTGAGAAGGCTAGGACCAGGATTTCCCTTCACTCGAGATTTCTAGTCAAGGCCTGCTCCACTCTCCATCTCCCTCAGGAGACAAACCCCACTCAAGCTCTAAAGTTGTAAGGATGCTACAAGTACAAGGCTTTCTAGAAGGTATACTACTTCCACCATCAGTTGAACCTGGTACAGAAATCACATGGTGAATCTCGCAGATGTGTGTTCTTTGGGAGGTGAGCCTTGGATCACCACATGGTCTCTGCTGCCTCTAAAATCTATTGATGAATGTTTAATATGCTTATAACTTTTAGAGCACTGTATAATAATACATCAGTGCTGTGCTTCCAAGTTGATCACCTGCAGGGGCCAAGGAGAATTCTCTCTCCTGCCTCAAATGCGCTACCTGGGAGACTGTTACCTTCCTCTGAAACATTAGATACTGGCTGCTTCAAGAGACATGAGACTGACCAGGATGTCCAAGGGCTACTTAAGGCCTTTTTGGGCACCTAGTTGGTGAGTCCTGTCCACACTTGGGATTAAACCAGTAGCAAGATGTGAAGTCAAGAAGGTTTCCCCCAGGTCAGACTGGCAGGGGGACCCCTTCCTGAATCACCGGAACATATTTTACTAAGGATGCACCAATAAAGATTTTTTTGGCTTATACTGATGTTCGATTATTAACCAGCAATATCAGCCAATACCGATTCAATAGTTGATATACAGCCCGGCAGCTTGGAGAGCAGCATCTGGCCAGTAAGTCTGTTGGGGGGGAAAGGGGGACGGGGAGGAAAGGGCCTTGGGGTGGGCAGATCAAGGCCCCCACACAGTGAGGGTGCTGCCTAGCCAGGGTGGTGAATGCAACCCCAGAAGCAGGGTGGAGCCGCAGGCAGCATATCTGGGGGTGGGGAGGTGCAGCGCTGGGAAGGGGGCTACAGGAAATTTTGGGGTGGCTGTAGCCACTGCCTGCCCCAAGAGCAGCTCCCCTCTTCCCCCCCACCAGGAAGAGGCTGGCACAGCCCCTGGCCCCAAGCCCGCAGTGGGCAGCCCACCCCTGCCCCTCACACAAATCTGGGGGGAAACATGCCCATGTCTCCCCCAGGGGTGGGAACAGCCCCTGCCCCACTCCCTTCTTCACAATGGGGGCCTTGATCTGCTCCCCCATGCCCCTTCCCCTCTACAGACTTACCAGCCGAATGCTGCTCTCCATGCTGCCCAGCTGCATGCTGCAGCTGTGCACAAGCAGGCAGCATTTACTGGCAACATTATCAGCTACACGGGCCAAATAAAGTTGATTGCTGATAATGTCAATTTTCCTTTTAATAGTGCCAATCCGATATGCCACCAACATACTGGTGCACCTCTATATTTTATCAAATAAACTCCCTGCCACTGCCCTAGCAGTGCCCTTGGTCTCTTCTACAGGATACTGTAGATTTTTAGGATCTCATATTTTGGGGTACTAGACCCCAAATTAGTTATAGGGCATTAGTGAGTGCTTTTTGACCGCAATGTGTGGGACAGCCCAGGACTAAAGCTGTCATGGGCCCTTTCACATGAAATAGCTATTACAAGGTGGCCTGAGATTGCAGAGAACTTAACTCAAAGACCTAGGTGGTCTCATTCTACATGCATATGAATAGATCAGAAGGTCTGGGGGGTTATCCATGCAGCAACTCTCCATTTCACGATTCTCCACGTTTCCAACTCCCTACCATGCCTTGTCTTCTCCAAACTACCCCAGTTTCTTTAAGGTTCCAATAATTTACTTAATCAAAAACAAAGGGATAAAACTATTAGGTGCTGCTGGAGTGACCCTCAAGAGCTGCTTCTATGATAATTTACAGTAGTCATGGCTGAACTCTAAGAATCACTTCTACAGAGGTTTTGCACATAAGGACCTCACAGTTCCACAGACCCATCTTTTCCAGGTGGGCAACCTCTTCTGCAGCTCTCCAGGACCCATCTGAAAGACTGAACCCCTCTCACCCAAAATCAGGGGTCCCAGCCCCATTCTACCTTGGGCCAAACATCCTCACCTTCTCCGAAGCATCTTGTTTCCGAGTGGAGTCTCGCCCACGCAGGCTCTTTGCACTGATCCCGGACTCTGACGTCTGCATGATCAGTTGTGTGGCCAGAAATTGCTGCATGAAAACCATGCAGTCAGTCGTTAAGATTCGGTGAAACACTCAGTTCGTGGCCTCAGTCTCACAAGGCACAAGATCAGGAATGCAGTTCTTTGGATACATTCCCTCACTTGCCCACAGAAGCCACAAATTGTACCCAGCTCAACAAATGAACTTTGACTCCTGGGAGCTGGGAAACCCCAGAAGGCAAAGGGGAAGCAACCAAACACCTCAGAAGCCCCTTCTCAGAGGTCTGGTTGGCACCTTCTCTATCAATTGGCGCATAAGTTTTCTCTAAAATAAGCCTCAGATCAAGAAGTCCAACTCCTGCCTTTACCTGGATTTGCTCCAAAACATCTCGCTGCATTTCCACAGCCATGTGGTACACATCATGGTCAGAGCTGTTGTACATGACTGCATTCTGGAACATTAGCATTATATCACGTTGGAACTCAGCTGTGGTTCGGATGAGCCCATTCTCAATGTTCTTCTTAATGGTAGATAAATCCATCGGCCTGTGAATGCAGGACAGTGAGAAGTGGAAGCAGGAGAGTCCCCAGCACTGCCTACACTCCTTTTCTCTTCTGAGCCAGCTTGGTCTTTGCCAGCAATGCAGTCATCTCAACTCCCACAATGGCCAAACAGAACCTCCTCAGCACAGATGGCACTGAGGATTCAGACCAGAGGAGGTGAATTGGGAAGCTTTCCTCAGTAGAGTAATCCTTGGCCAGCAGAGCGCCCAAGAAAGGCACTCACTACTCCTGCCACTACTGAAAGGAGGTGGAAGCTAGAAGAGCCCAAACCACCCCGGACTTCTGGAGATGGCGGACAATTCAAGTAACTCACCTGAAGAGACCGCTGTCTGACAGAGTCCATAGATATTAATGGAACAGCTTGTTAAAGAAGCCATCTCCTGGTGAGATGGTTCCTTTGACAGAAGGAAACACTAATCTGCTCCTCTGCAGATTGCTGGGTTCATGCCAATTAAATCAGGGGCTAGCAACTGTTTAGGAGCAGTAGGCCACACTAACAGAGCTAGATGTGAAGGTGAGCTGCCACTTCCAACCTGACAGCCACTGCTTCCCCTCCTTTCTGCCACCAATGTCATTTCCTCTTCCCCTTCGCTGCATGGCAGGTGTGGCAACAGAAGGCTGCTGGGTCACTCACCTCTGCACAATACTGTGATAGCCTGGTGCTATGTCATCAGTCACAGGCTGTAGGAAGACATTGGCATACCTACAGGGAGAAGGAGGCAACTATGAGTGCCCAGACTGCTTGCTGGCAGTGGAACAAACCCCTGGCCAGAGGCATGGCCGGCAGACAGAAGCGCTAAACACCTGTTTCATAAACGCACATTTTCACTGGTCTTCTAATCAAGCAACAGAGATAAGAACTGGACAGTCCTTCATCCAAACCCAGGATCAGACCAGCTTGGGGGACAGGAGAGCAGAGAACTCCACCTGCAGTTTGCTTGAGGCTAGCTAACTCTTCTCACTCACCTGTGATTGGCTGCTGCTCTCCAAACCAGCATTATGGCCTTTTTCCAGATCTTCTGGGCTTGGATTGCCTCCTGATCTTCACTGCAAACAGAGCTGAGGAGACAAGGAAGCCTCTCAGAGTGGAATTCATGACACCTCTAGACCACCACAAGGTTAGGGACTTCCTTCAGCAGTCTCCAACCCATCCTTCCAGCAGCAGTAACTTGAGCTCATTTGGCCTTAGACCTACCCACAGTGTTCCATGCCAGCCAAGGAAAGGAAACAGCATCCAACTCCTTGGAGCTGGCTCTATGGGGCTGTCTGCACAACACTCCAAGGAGTAAGGAGGCCCTAGGGTCAGACTGATCAGCCAACTCCCACTGCATCCCTGTTCAGTCAGCAAGACACAAATGAGACTCCCCTACTCCCTCCCAGCATGGTCTGGGATTTGCATTGTGGGTGACTGAACATTTTGCTGATACTCACAACTGTGAGGAAGCAGGGCTGCTGGGAATGGAGTCAGCTAGCGTGTGAGACTGCAAAGGTGCATTATGGACACTGAAGCCATCATCACTCTCACTCACAGGGGGCTCGTTATCCATTTCCGACAGGTACCCCTCACCCTGATCTTCCTCCTTGGGCTCCTCCAGACTGGGAGCCTCACTGGCACCATCCTCATCATCCTCTTCCCCCCGAGCCTCCTAAGACATACAATCAAATTCAGTCAAATCAGCTCTACTAGCAATAGCAACTAGCCACAGATACTAAAGGCAGCTGTGTTTCAGCAAGCAGTAGCAATCTCCACTAGTCAGCTTCAGGGACACCTGTATAAAACCATCAATCCCTCTCCCAAAGCTTTACAGAGTCTGCAGTGAGCTCCTCTCACTTGCATCTACCAGCTGCAATGGGATGGCACCCCACTTTTAACCATTATACCCAAGAAAGAGTCAACTCAGAATTACTTTACCTGGCTTCTAAACAGCGCCTGGGTGTCCTCCTTCATTGATTCTGGGGAGAAAAGACAAAAAGAATAAGGCAAGTTCATTCCCCAAGAACAAGTTTGGGAACCCCTCCTGCACCAGTGCACCCCTCACAAAGCAGAGACTGTCCATTCTGCACAGATAATCTTCCCCCACAAACCGAAGTCCTCCCACCTAGTAAGCTGCAGGTAAAATATTTCTTGGCTGAATTAAATTACCTGACAGCTCAAATTTGTGCTGAACATCAGGCTGTGAAGAATCTTCATTCATATTTGGGACTTGTGGAGGTGGTGAGTCATCATCAGGAAGGGCCTGGAGGAAAGTGAAATGCATACATCCAGGTGTTTTTTGTCACCTTCCATGGTGCACATATGCCTCTTCCACAGTACAACCCCTGCCGGGTTTCAGCAACAGCTAGCCCATATGCTGAATTGCTACTGGGCTAGCTGCACACCCTGCCTAATACTGTCTGTTCCAGAGACACCTTCCGGCAGAACAACAGTGTGACCCAGAAGGAAACAGCAACTGCTCTGTTCTAATTACAGTTGCCAAGATATAATCTTTAAGTTCAGTGTCCATTTTCTCTCTGAACCATTCTCCCCTGCCACACTGCTCCCTGCTCTCCCCCACACTGCCTGACAGACCCCAGTCACACACCTCTGTCTTCACCGTGTTGTGCACTCCTTCATCCCCCTTTGCTAACTCGGTCTCAGTTTCGGAGTTCTCTCCTCCAGCAGCAGCTGCTCTCTGCTCCTCGTCCATCTCCCGACTCCTGAGCTCAGGCATCTCCACTGTCCGTGAGACTGCTACTGTGGCTTCTTCAGGGTCCAGCTGGCTCTGTTCCTGCTCTGCAGGTTCTGTCTTTATTTCTGGCCCCAGCTCTCCAAGGCTCATGAGGTCTCTGATTCCCTTTGTTTCTGCCTCTTCACAGTCCAACCTTTCTTGCTTCACAGTCACAGCTACTTGGGGCATCTGAGTCTGTTTCTCATGCTCTTGCTGGATTGGATGCTCCCATGGGCCAGTCAAGGCCTGTGGGTCATCAGTCTCTTCACAGAAAGACAAAGCAGCTTCAACTGCTGCTACATCCAGGACTTCAGGATGGTCATCTACCTTCATTCCAAAACAAAAGCAGAGCAGCATAAACCATGGGCATCAAAAGGGAGCAAAGCACCTAGTTTCATAGTAGGTAGGGTCGGAAGGGACCTGAGCAGATCATCAAATCCGACCCCCTACCCTGGGCAGGAAAGAATGCTGGGGTCAAATGACCCCAGCAAGGTGATTATCTAGCCTCCTTCTGAAGACCCCCAGGGTAGGAGCGAGCGCCACTTCCCTTGGAAGTTGGTTCCAGATCCTAGCTGCCCTAACTGTGAAGTAGCGCCTCCTGATGTCTAGCCTGAACCTACTCTCAGTCAACTTGTGGCCATTATTCCTCGGGACTCCAGGTAGTGCTGGGGGGGAACAGGGACTCTCTCATTCTCCACTGGTCCCCCTGGTACGTTTACAGACAGCCACCAGATCCCACCTCAGCCTTCTCTTGTGCAGGCTGAACAGTTTCAGGTCCTGTAGCCTCTCCTTGTAGGGCCTGCCTTGCTGCCCCCTGATCATGTGAGTGGCCCTCCTCTGGACCCTCTCCATTGGTTCACATCCCTCCTGAAGTGCAGCGCCCAGAACTGGACGCAGTACTCCAACTGCGGCCTGACCAGTGTAGCACAGAGGGGGAGGATCACCTCCTTGGACCTGCTCATGATGCATCTGTGGATGCACAACAAGGTGCAGCTGGTCTTCCTGACTGCCTCCCCACATTGGTGGCCCATGTTTATCTTGGAGTCTATAATGACTCCAAGATCCTTTTCTGCCTCTGTGCTAACGAGAAGGGAATTCCCCAGCCTGCAAGTATGTTGCTGGTTCTTCCTCCCCAGGTGCAATACCCTGCACTTGTCAGTATTGAATCCCATCTTATTCTCATCCGCCCACCCCTGTAACCTGTCCAGGTCCAATTGCAGCCTATTCCTCTCTTCTAGCATGCCCACCTCTCCCCACATCTTAGTGTCATCTGCGAATTTGAACAAGGTGCTTTTCACCTCTTTGTCCAAGTCACTGATGAAGATGCTGAACAGTGCAGGCCTGAGGACCAAACCCTGTACTGGAACAGCTAAACAAAAGGCTTCTCAACACCCAAAATTATAGGACCCCAGCACCAATGGCTGAAAACATTTTTACTCTTAAACACAAGCAAGTTGGCAAAGCACTCAGGCCTCTCCAGATGGACTTGCTTTTAAGCGGGTGTACCAGAAACAGGGAAGAACACATATTAACTAGACCCTTCCACCCACAGTGCTGCAGCAGTCATATGGTGCTGTATATTCTCAGCTGGGCAATTCCCAACTTTGGGTCAGTGTATCAGGGAGCATTACCAGGAATTAGGGATCCCCTCAGTGCTAGATTCTGGGGCCTGCCAGGTATTAAGTGATCTAGATAAATAGCCACTTGCATGCTGGCATGGGCCAGGTGAATCCTGGCAGGGAACCTCAAAGATTTCAGAGACTGCAAGGCCAATCAAGACACTGTGATCATCTAATCTGGCTCCCGTACATCACTGGCCTCTCAATTTCACTCGACTACCCTCGTATTGAGCACAAGGACTTTATTTTAAAGGATTTTAATCCTCAAGAGCAGGGGTTGGCAACCTTCTTCTAACCATGAGCCACTACTTGAGACCCCGGCTGGCACCACAATCCACCCATCCCTTGCTGTGCCCGAGCTGCTCCTGCTCTGTGCAGAGAAGGACTCCCTGCTCCCTCTCCCAGTGCAGCCTCTTCTGAAAAGATGTGGTGCAGGACAACTTAGAGTGACTAATTCAG